TTTTTAAGCCCATGGACATGGAGAAAATTCAGCATATGCTCGGCCAGCAAAGGCTCATGGGGACTTCTCATAAATTAAAATTTGGTATATGCGGTCTTATAAGGTGTGCAAATCTTGATGTGTGCTTAAATCTAATGAAAATATCTCATGTAGTTACTTGTATTTTATGTTTAATCTTAACATAATTCAAAGTTAAAGTGAGTACCATGAGTTAAAACTATCCGACTTCAGCTCCTTGTACCTATAGTTGGACCAATGGTTGAAAAGTGGAAACATAATGTTTCTACATAGGACAGGAGATTATAATCTAATAACCAGGACAACTGCTGGTGGGCCAAATCAAATGGCTTGGGGCCCCATTTTCTTCACCTCTACTCTAAATAAACCCACCAGGTCTGTAATATACAGGGGGAAACACTGATTTTGTAAATATATCCGTCGTTTTCTGGTGTTCACAAGGCCTCTTGTCACCATGTTTACAAAACTATTTTTTATTTAGCCATTTAAACTGATGTGGAGAGGTCAGCAGGTGATTCTTTACTGCTCTYTATTGTTAATGTTTGTTTTATTACATACGGTTCAGATAATAACGCAGCTTCATTAAGCAGATTGTGTGTTTGTGTTCAGGAGGTTATAACCAGCACGGCTTCCTGTCCAGTGTGGAGTGTTACTGTCCGGACAGGAACGAGTGGACGTACGTCACCGACATGCCCGGTGGACTCAGCGGCATGGGCATCACGGTCACCATGGAGCCGTGTCCCGGCTGCATGGCAGAGCAGGAGGAAGACAACGAGGACATATCCAAATAGGAGGAGGAGGTCCTGAATAATGGAAGACTTGTTGATATTCAGCAGAAGTTTTATTCCAACATCAGTTCAAAAACATTTAAAAAAAACTCATTATGAACCCTTCACCTCAGGGTTTTCAGATTTTGCACCTTGGGATAAAAAAACATTTATCTTTTTGTGTTTGAAGGACATGGTGTATTTATTAATTTTTAAATGTTTTTTTTTTCATCAACATGATTACGCACAAAAAGCCTGACTGAAATGATTTTTCCATTCATTTTTTCTAAAAACTTACAAAAAAAAGCCAAGTAAAGCATGGAGGACCTCTGCTCTCTGAGGGCCCGTATTATTAAATATAATATATTTGTAACTCTTTCTGTCTACTTGGTGGTCAGATGTTATAAAAAAATACACAACTTGAACATGACCTTGAATGTCCCTCTTTTCTACTTCCTGTCTGTTCTAAATTTCTACAAATTTGTTTACATTCCCTTTTTTGWGTTGATGTAATTTCAAGCTGCTATTTTATGAATTTGCCCTATTATTATGTCTGTTAAATCACTATATTTCTTGTTAAAACGAAGTATCTCATATAAATGTCAAATACTTTAAACTGTTGTAGTTTTTTCATTAGAGCCTTATGTTGGCCTGTTTGACCACTAGATGGTGGAAGAAGTCTAAAAATGTGGACAAAAATGGGTTCACATTGTGACACACAATAGCAGACTCCGTCTGAAAAAAAAAAGAAAATGTTAAAAACGTAGCCATGTGGGCTTAAATTTCAGGCGCGTCCTGTTTTACGTACAAGCTCTTTGTCAGTTTTATTTTTTTTATTAAACATAATAGTTGGAGCTAATTAYAGCTCACTGAAGCCTTTATTCTACGCCGTCCTCAAACAGACACAATCCACTGGACTGAGGACAGAGTTAGTCATCAAACCACAGACGTCACTTGTGTGTTTACCTCTTCCTCTCTGCTCTGCTGCTCTCCATCTCCTCCACGTCTCACCTGCATATTTACCCAACCGGCCGTTCAAAAACAACAAAAGAAAATAAGAGGGCCTCAGAACTGAACACATTTTGATTTCTGAGGTGAAACAAATGGGAGCAGAAAGACTAATTCATGTTTTTGTGTTGGTTTGTGTGTGTGTGTATTAACAGAGCAACCTGTTGGTGCACCTAGAGGATGCTCCGGTTGTGTGTCCGCCGGGCCCTGGAGAAGAAAGCAGGACCCTCTTACTTGCAGCCCTACATCAGAGCAAGTGACTCACATGTCGAACGCATGACGCAGGCGTCTCCTACGAGTGTGCACATGGTTACACAAACACATTTGTTCTCTCTCTCTCTGTGCGTGTGCGTGTGCCGCGCTTGTGCAAGACAAAGCTGGCTGTCTCCTATTCACAGGCTGTGGAAACAGATTTGCCTCAATGTGTTCATTGTCTCASGAGGGGAGGGGATGTAGCTCTGTGTGGCAGGGAGGTTTTGGCGTCTGCGGAGGGAAAATAGTGCAGATGTAGCTGCTGTACATCGTTTGCATGCGCTGCACTAACAGTTCACATGACCCCCCCCCCCCACACCCCCCACAGGAGGAAGCAATGGAGGAGAGGGTCATGTACCGAGTAACAAGACAGACAATGACCAGAAGAAAGGCTGCTGATTTACATGAAAACTGTTATTTAATATGTAAAATCATAATTTGGGACTTCATAATAAACCCAGGCTTTCGGTGGTACCCAGTGTTGCACAATGACGACCAGTGTTGGACTTGGTTCTGCTAATCCGCTAACAGCTAATGGCAGAACTAATTTTTTGTTCAGCAGCATTTTTACTAACTTTGAAAACCAATTTTAAAGGTTTTGCCAACTTTAAGTCTGCTAACATCTAACTAATAGTCAAAGGTGTCTTAGCGATTAGCTATTAATGTGCCGTCTGCTCATTTTATTGATTTAGCTGAATAGCATTAGCTTCTTATTGAGGTTTTTGGGAGGGGGGGCTGTGGCAGAGTGGTTAAGGGAGTCCAGCCATCTCGGTCGTTGTGTCCTTGAGCAAGACACTTCACCCACCTTGTATGCTGATGGTGGTCAGAGGGTCCGGTGGTGCCAGTGCATGGCAGCCCCACCTCTGTCAGTGTGACCCAGGGCAGCTGTGGCTACAWTGTAGCTTACCATCATCAGTGTGTGAATGGGTGAATGTCTGTAAGTGAAGCGCTTTGGGGTCTGGAGGGTCTTAATAAAACGCTCTAAGTTCAGTCCATTTACCATTTTACACGTTTAGCAGTTTAGTAATAGCAAAGCTTTACGTTTTTGGTTAGCAGCTTTTTACTAACTTTAAAACTATTATTAGACCAATCTACAATCAGCTGTAAATTAACAATCAATCGTTTCTTTCTCCACATTTCATTAAAAACTCTCCTGTGGTTCATGAGATATTTTGCTAACAGACGAAYTGTTGACTTCTGAGAATTAATGCCAAAGTTGGAAGCAGAAATGACACACAATATGGATAAGCTACAAAATACCTGTGAGACTGACCACGTTTGCAGTGGTTTTGTTTTCTGTAACCAGTTGGCTGTGGTGGCCATCTTGAATTGTTTGACTCCAAAAGGTACGGTTAGGAAGTACACAAAACTTTAAACTGCTATAAAACAAAACGGGATGTTTCTTTTACAATGAGGCTCATACTTATTTGGTCTTAAATAGATCCGAACACATGCAGGTCGTCAAATCAAGGCTCCACAGGACCCGGAGAGGTGGTGGTGGTGGTGGTGGTGGGGGGTGTCTTTAACACCACTGGGCCCTGTAGCCACACACACACACACACACACACACACACACACACGGGTGTAGGTGTGACCTTGGGAAGTGATGACCTCATCAACATCCCTGCCTGCAAAGCTAATCTGTTTCGTTCTGAAGGATGCTCCCTCAACAGAGCCACTCATGAAGGTGACTTTGGTGGCGTGGAAACACGCCTCAGCGAGGTGCACCCAAACGCACTCAAACGGGGATTAAATGTGCACAGTGCACGAGTGCTGCCCATGTTCACCTGTATCCTGACCAGACAAAAAACTTTGAAACTGCGTGACGTGTAGCCAGTTTTGAGTTAATTCCTGCAGCAGGTGTTTCAGAATAATAGTGAAATCCCAAAAGCTGCATTGAGAAGTTCCCTCAATTCAGCACTAAGTTTAAAGGGACAGTCTGGTCATTTTTGAAGTGTTCTCGTGGATGTCACGAATGGTAAAGAACTATTTATAACAGAACATCCCTTAAAGAAATGAATAGAATACCCCTTTAAACTCTAATAACTTTTCCATTGAGGTGCAACAGTTCACTTAACAGGTGTGGGTTCACCAATGTACCATTTCTAAACTCTCTACAGAGCTTAGCTTTGTGCTATATGAAATAAGATTCAACGATAGGTCTTCTAAGATGTCCATTTTGGGTGTAAACYTGTTTCCCCTACCATTATCAAACATYGCAATGTAGCGCTAAAGAACATCTACAGAAATGTGCTTTTGTTTTCTAGTTATGCATAGACAGAAATCKTGTTGTTGTTAATCCCACGAGTCTGTTGCACAGTTGTGCTTCTGCAGTGGTGAGCACTGTTCCACTAAACAGGCAATAGTGAAGCTAACTTTTTGTTTGTCTACATGTCGAGTTGTACCGATTGATCACACAGGTTTTCCACTATTTTGCATGTATACAGATATATAGAGAAAAACTCGCAGATTAAAGGGATCCACGATTAGTTGTAACATTAAACTTTATTTGATAAACGTCTATTTTAACTGTGAAATAAAGACTGTAAAAATACTGTAGGCTGTTTAGTTTTGTAAATTTTTTAAAATATATTTTAACACGGACGGAGCCATTTTATTT